TTTGTATTTATCAATTGAACCATCTGGATTGGTTTTGAGTTTATACACCCATTTACAGGGAATTGCTTTTTTATTTTCAGGTAAATTTTTCAAAATCCATGTACAATTCTCTTTTAATGACTGCATTTCATGCTCCATTGCCAGCCTCCAGTTATCTTTTTCACAACAAACAATTGCTTCTTTGTAACTAAGTGGTTCTTTGGTGTCGTTTATTTCAGCAGCAACCATCATAACGAACTCGTCAAAGCGTGTTGGCTTCTTAATGTTTGATCTTTCTCTCAGTTGTCTTCTAAATTCTATATCTTCTTCTAAGCTTTCTTCTGGTTCACAACATTGGTTTTCTTCTTGGTCATATGGGTCCATTTCTTCTATACTATCACTAATTTCATCGACAATATCTATTTCTTCTGTATCAGAATTATTTTGAACAAAATCCAATACATCTACTGTAGGTTGCAAACTTTGAAACTGTTTGGATTCTTTTAGCACACCGAGAGTTTCAAATTCATTAAAAATAACATCTCGTGAAAGTATTAGTCTATGCTGTTCTTCTGACCAGATCCTATATCCATCATCATTTTCATAACCCACGAGTATACCTTTAATAGATTTCTTATCCAATTTTCTCCTGCAAACTTTAGGAACGTGAGCATAACAAGTACTGCCGATTACTCTTAAATGTTTAAGTTCAGGCTTCTTGTTAAACCATATTTCATGTGGTGATTTATCAGGAATACTGGACATACCAGATCTGTTTAAGATATATGTAGCTGTGTTTACTAATTCAGCCCAAAATGTTTGATCAAAGATACCTTCTCTTGCATGCATTAAAGATCTTGCGCATTCGACAATCGTTCTGTTATCACGTTCTGAACAGCCATTTTGTTGTGGTGTGTACGGCATCACCAATCTTTGTTTTATTCCATATTTGTTTAAAATATTTGCTACTCGATGATTATCAAATTCTCCACCATGATCTGACAGAAATTCTTTCACACCATATCCTGCAGCTTTTATTTCTTTTAAAACAATATCTAATTTATCAGCAACTTCTGACTTTTGCTTTAAAAAATATACAAATCGGTATCTGCTAAAATCATCTTTAAATAAAACATAATATTTAAAACCGGATTTTGATACATTGAAAGGCCCACAAACATCCGAATGGATCAGTTCTCCTGGAGTTTCTGCTCTTTTTCTTATGCCAAACTTTTTCACGGAAGCTTTTCCATAAACGCAGCCCTCACATAATTCACTATCCAGCTTCACATGTATGTTAAATTCTTGTTTAATTACATCTTTAACATGTCTTTTGCTTTGATGACCCAGCCTTTCGTGGTAAAGTTGCAATATATTTTCTTTAGAAGTAACCATACTGACACTCACATTTTCAGGTTTGATTGCCTGCATCTTCAGTTTATATAGTCCACCAGACTTACATCTAGATCCAACAATAATTGTTTCTTTATAAATATTAAAATAGCAGCACTCAGTGGTGGAAATAAATTCACTTTCTGGATGTTTGTCCTGAGCAGACAAAGTTGAGAAAAGATTTTTCCTGATATTGGGAACATACCATACGTTGGTCAATAAAAACTCTTTCTTCTTTCCTTTTACAAAAGATTGTATTTTGATGGTACCGTGTCCTAATGCCGCAACTGCATATCCATTAGCTGTTGTTATTGTTTGCTCTTCGCTAAACGGTTCATACGATTGGAATACACTTTGTTGATTTGTTATGTGATTAGTCGCTCCATTATCAACATACCAATTTTTAAAATCTGCTTCGCAATTCAACACATTCGATGATACAGCCACTAAGGACATCTGAGTTTCTTTAGCTTTAGTATTTGTATGTTTTTTCGAATTTTGTCGTTTAGGAGGCCTTCCATCGGCTTTCCATTTATCGCATTGCTTCACTTTATGACCTTTTTGCTTACAGTAATTGCAATAATAACTATATTTATGTGCTTTACTCTTATTCACTGTCACTGTATATAAAACTTCTTGCTTGCTCTCATTTTTATTTGTTAATGCTTTTTCATAAGAGCATAGCTGATTTGTCAAGTTATCTATTGTTCTGTCTTTATTTGATACCAGAATCCAACTAGACTTAAATGAGAAATATTCAGGTGGTAGAGTTTCTAATATTTTACAAATAAGCAAAATATCTGGCAAGTCGCACTTACAATTATTTCCAGCAACTGCTTTATCTTTGAAAATTTCGCTTTGCAAATTGTTCCAAAGGTTTTTAAGTTTTGATGAATGAGTAGCAATATCGTCATCTGATTGTCTAGTATAACTAAAAAATTGCATACAGATATCATAGGTTTTATCTGTTGCATTACCATCATACAAACGATGCAGCTCTAACCAAACTTCCCTAGCGGTCGAAAATCTCATGACTTTTTCTAATGTGCTTTGAGTCATATTTATTGTAAGAACTAATAAGACAGTACTATCTGTTTGATTAAAAAATGCAACATCTTTTTCATACTTGCATTTTTCTTCTTGTGTTGCTCCTTCGAGTAACGACTTAGGAAAAGTTAATCTACCATCAAGGACGTCCATCGCACTTTTTACATTTCTCAGAAGAATAGAGATTTTGTATTTCCAAGTGGTCCAACTCTCTTTACCTTCAAGGAATCCTATTTGCACCTTACTGGGATCCATTTTACTCTGGATTTAATTTAAAATGCTCTTTATTACGTTATGGAGATGACACTTTCCAGACAGTTAAAAATTTTTCTTCAATTCTTACTTAATTTCTTGTATTTTCTAGCATTACCATTTAGGTACTGTACGCTCTGCTACCATGTTAATAATATTAGATCGTCTAACTAGAAAAAACTTCCTTGTAATAAAATAATGACTATGACTTATTGTTATTTTATTTCCATCAAAATTGACATTTTTTTTTGTCTTTAACTACAAAACTTAACTCATTAACTTATTTACAACATAGGATGGTAAATTACGTAGATGCCTTCTTCATTCTGCTTTAACAGAAACTAGGTAGAACTTCACGTATTACATATTAAAAAGAATGACCGAGTTAGAAGAGGCAATCCGTTCCACATTGATATTAGTTAATACAGACTTAGACAAAATCTAAATAAGGAAGACTGGATTATTTGTTCTCAACTTTCCCAAATTTTACGGCTTTTTAAAGAAATAACAAGTACAATGAGTGGCCAAAAATACTGTTATGATACGCTGCCTGCAAGAATCTTATAATAAAATTTTAGCAAACGGTAACCTTACATCCATAGTATCCGACGTAGTACAATTACTAATATCGGGTTTATCAAAAAGATTTAGAGGGATAGAACAGAGTGGCACATTGTCATTATGTACATTTATGGATTCACGATTTAAAGCGCAGTGATTTTTTGACAAAAATGAAGCTAAACAAACAAAAGAAAGAGTTAAGAAGCTGGTTACTTCTATAATTAAAAAACAAGAAGATTGTACTATTGAAAATCAACCAGTACAAGAAAAAGAAACCGATAAAGATAACTTAAGTCCATTGTGTATTTTTGATCAATTTATTGGACATGACTCATCTAAACGTACACCTGTATCGAGAGTCTATTACAATGGTGGAAAAACCATCGCCATGTATATCCTAACTTAACCACTATATTCATAAAATATTGTAAATGTGAACACATGTTCAAAATCTACTTTAATTTTAAATAAAAGAAGAACACGGTTAACAAGAAGTAAAGTAGAAAAACTTATGTTTTTAAATATCAATTTAGATGATTCGCGATGTAATAATAACGTGTAATGTAAATTTAAGTACGATTTACTATTTGTATTGTTTAGTTTATTTTTCAAGTTATAATAAATATATCCTTCATTAGTTTCTTACAGTTCAATAAATATACACATAAACGATAATAGCCATTATGTTTGTTTATGTAGGTACTTTCTTACTTGAAACTACTGTTAAACAATCATAGTAACTTGTTTACGAAAAACGGTTTACTATAAAAACGTCAACGACCCACCTCTACTCGTTACCTCTGTCCACGCGAGACGAGACGTTGTCAAATAATGTTGTGTGAAGCTTTTTTATTGTGGCATCATATGCAGTTTATTATTTTGGAAATAAGGCACAATGTGACTTTAAAAGAAGCTTATTTTGATGTTAAGATTTTTAATTCGGAAATCGTACTTAAAATACGAAACATTAATAAATTTTATTTATATTCAACGATTTCCTAAGTGAAAATCAAAATGTTATATTACACTTATTGTAAAATAAAATTGGGGCATATTCCGAATAAAAAACAGTAAGCTGCCATTTAAATCCATTTCGCATAAATTTGATTATGTTCAAATGCTAAAAAGACAACAGATCAAATAAAACCAATAAATTTGGCAACGTTAAATTTCCCCTTTTTTATTATTTTAACTCTGATATTCGGCGAAATGAAGGGCGGACCTAATATACCTCTCTTTTGAAACAGGTTTTCTAACTCTTAAAACTAAAGATGTAACACTTTTAAATTGTAACAGAATCAGTGGATATTGATACCAACGGCTCCCAAATCATAACAATGGTCTTCGACATCTAGGTTACAACACAAAACCCTGGGTGCCATTTTAGACCTATGTGTGCTGGAATTTGATTATCTAATTGCTAGTTGTAATTTGCGAAAACACCACATTCAATGGAGCTTTGCAGAAAGGAATAAATAAAACAGAGAAATCGGGGATAAGTAAAAAAATTAGGTGAACCGTAGCTCCATATTCTTTGGGTAAAGGTTCTAACATTTTTTTAAGGATATATATGCTAACAAAGGCTCACCGGCTCGCGGGTCCGTTCGAACTGCTTTCACACTTTGTTGTATTTAAAATTAAAATATAGGAAGCCTTTATATATGTATAATCACCTGCAGCTCTGATTATGCGCCCCAAATATTATAATTTTCTTGTTTAACTAACCATTTCAGCTTCTGATTCTTTTGTAGAATAAAACACAGAGTTGAGTTTTTAATTTTTATTATAAAACAATACATGGTTTTAGATGTATAAGATTAACAAAAAATCTATCAGGATCGAAGGTATTGTAATCATAAAGAAGTTGTTAAAGGGCTAAAATTAATCAATAAACAATAACATTTTTACAGGTGCCTAGAATTTAATGTGTGTAACTTAAATTAAAATACGATCAGTCTGATCACTTTTTTTTACAGTTTTACAAATGTGCACAGTGGTAACGCAAATATTCTTCAATTTTACTATAAACTGAATATAAAATAGTAGAAGATACTATTCTTAAAATTCCAAAAAAATCATTACTCACGACTCTTATTTTCAGCGCCAACATATTTTTATAAAGTGCAAAATGTGAAATAGTTTTCATATCAAATGTATTAACGAAGTTTGAGGAAAAAAAACTAATGTCCATAAAAGGTTTCAACCTATACCACTGTGATAGACACAAAATTAAAAAAAAAGTATATTCTATCGAGGTTTCCTTCAAAAAGTAACACTATACATTATAATGTTCTGTCAATATTTATAACATTATATAATCTTTAAGCTGTGATAGCGTATCTTGGTCTACAGTCTGCAACAAAAACCCGTATTGCTGCTCGCCAACTTGTGTTTTCAGCTGCACCAGTTGCGATTGGAGATAGTCCTTTAAGACAATCGTGTGCACAGGATCTGACAAAATAAGCTGTTTCCTTCTTTGATTATGATCTGTTTCATAGTAGCAGTCTTCGTCTTCGAAGTCGCTCGGACTCTGGCCTTCTGTTAAAACTAGGGAATCTACTATTACTCCGTTATCTTCCGTTCTGGTAATGTCATTTAAAGTCTCTAATATGTTTAACATAACTAACCCAAATCGTTCAAAAACGGGCGTACTTTGAGTCGTTAATAAATTAGTAAGTGCTAAACCCAGTAATTTCCTATGATCTGGCTGGGAAACATGTCTCATTTTATCCAGCCACATGTCTAACAATTTGCACATTATAACCTGCTCAGTCTCTCTACTACTTTGGGCTAACTTACTCAGTACTCTAGTAAAAACCTCGTGTGATGACAGCAGCACCCTTGACATGACACACAGGTACATCGACAACAACATCGGGTAGCTCTCCCCGACGTAAATTTTTTCGAATATTCTCGGCAATATAGGAAGCGTTGTCTCCGCTCCCAGTGTTGGTGAAGCTCTTAAGAACGTCTCTACCAACCTCATCAACATTACAATTCCTTCATTCTTTAAATCTCCCATTATACCATCACAAACTTGCATAAGTTGTATGCCCTGTGTGCGCATGATCAACTCCGGAGCTAGCAACAAATGTACCAAAGAAATTAACAAACAATGTCTTAAATTCTCTGTAGAATACTCCAGTAAAGATCCCATACAATTAAAGAGCTGTAGAAGAGGTTCTGACATAGTTGTGGAGTACTCTAAAACCGTCATCCAAAGAGTCAAGCAGTCTTCTAACAAATAAACAATGGCACTCTGAGACACATCAGTTCCCAACTGAATTATCGGCAACAAGAACGGGTTCAGTTCTGGTTTAACTCCCTTTAAGGCTTTCACCAGCTGTACCAACGTGGCAACTATAGCACACCTCAACATATTGTGCTCCTCTGACTCTTGCCAGAGGTACGGAAGGTACTGTACTAAAGAATCTAGCTCCAGCTGCAACACCCCGCCCATTATTTCTAAAAGTAATGTCATGACATTCAGCACTTGCATCTTAGTTTCGCATTCCCTAGCTTCTTTTAACAAAGTAAATAGTAAATTAAATGAGGTAAACATGTAGTCTTTGAATTGATCACAATTGAACTCGAAATCGTCGATGGCGTACCTTAAAGTAGACGCAGCAGTGAGTCTTACGGCCATATCCTCTTTCGGATCAAGCAAATTGTTGATACATTCGTACAAAACTGGTCTTAGTTCGCTAGATAACTTAATACCAGTCCATCTACCTATTAAAGCTGTCACCCTACGTCTTATCACCCTGTAATTATTATCCTTCACTTTCAGTTCTTGGTACAAAGTATTGGTAAACCACGCATCGAAATCTATAGCGTCATATAAATCAAAAGCGCATAAACCCACAGCGTTATAAACTGCATCTTTTTTTAAAATAGCTTGCATATCATTTGGAGAGACCAGCACATTAGTTTCTGCTACTAGTTCCAGAACGACAGGCGTCAATGTGTCCCTGTACTCATGGAAAATCGTCACGAAGACCGTATCAGTGCTGGGCCTCAAGCTATACTTCCAACTATCACCACTTTCGTCATTTGAGAAGTCTTCCGGATCAGAATCCCACGTATCCAGCTCATCTTGCGTCAAGATGAAGTAGTGTCCTATTAATTTTCGACACATATCTGCCACTCTATCAGGTTGGAAAAACTCCTGCTTGATTTTTGTCGCCTTGACCGTATCTGGATATTTATTCAAATCAGATTTGACCGATTTATATTCTACACAAAGCAAAATGTTTTTTATCAAGTTGAAACACTGAATTACAAACCTTTCAAACACAAAATTGATACCTTCATCAGTAAATAGATAAAAAAATGTGAATTCTAGAGACAGTTGAATAAAATCTATAAAAGAAAAGGGATGGGTATCTAAAACCGATAGTAAAACCTTTGTTAAATGAATTATAAACTTCTCACATAGTTCGAGCACATAAATACCTTTTCCTTTAAGTTGTTTCCTACACTGCAACACAACTTTGGCCTTCTCAAATAGGATTTTTAAAAAGGACATGCAACTTTCGCTCTCGTGCGGCTTATAAAAGCCGAAAACCGAAAGCTTTCGTAAGATTCTTAAAGTCAACAAAGCTTTTTCTAAGTTTACTGTGATACTTTCGGGTGTAGCACCTTCAGAAATATCCCTAACAAAAGCCTCAGTATAGTTATTCCACAGATTCAAGATAAAGTTGTAAATGTTTAAAGTAAATTCATAAAAGATTCTCCTATCGCCAGCGAGACGTTTGGAAGAAATTGCTTTGACGACATGGTGTAAAGTTAAGAGAGATCGATGCTGGACTAAACTATCGGAACTTTCAACGGCTGTTAATAGAGTAGGAAACAGCTCAGGCCATTCTTTTGGACAGTCCATTCGAGCGATCTTAGCAACCAGCACAGCTCTTTGTATCGCTATTTGGTATATCGGTTCAATAAAATCTGATATCAATCCTTGTTTAATAGTATTCTTTTCTTCTACTGCTATAGCATTCGGTGCATTCTTTCTCCAGTACTTATCGAGCCCGTTCTTCATATATAACACTGCTATCCACCGCACGTTGACGTCGATTGAATGCGTGGAAATAACGTTAAATAAAGTAGTATAGAAACCTGGTTGTGTTTCCCATTCTTTAAGTTTAGCCTCTGCTGGTTTGAGCACATCTGGGTTCTGGCTAGCGGCTCCTTGAAGTACTTCCAGGACCATCATGTTTGTTGAGTCGACATTCATTTTTAGAGATTCGCATTTAATCAATTTGATACTTCGTTCTTACTTATTTACTCAATATGTGGTTGTTCGTACCATCATTAACTGAAATAAGAAAATAAATACTACATTTAATATAAAAAACATTAGTCATTCAATCGTGATTATATAAAAGTTATGACATGAACTATCGTACAGGGTATGAGCTTCATAACAACATTGTCTCTATACTACGTTCCACGTTTAGAAAATAACATTGCGGAGATAGGGCCATGTATTTCTTATGGACGATAGAAACGCGGCGTTGCCACGACACACACAAGCAATTATTTAGGGTTGTATAATTTATATTTCCGTTAAAAAGTAGGGAAAATGATTTTAATTAGATAAATAGTATTTACAAAAGATAATTTTATTTTATCTTATTTTAATTATAGTAACGACAGTTTATTTGTTTTTTTCGGTGAGAATACGATATGCTATGAATAATAGAAATCAGTAGAAAATATTGACCACTTGGAATGCGTATATCTAATTACTAATTGCAACTTAAAATAATACAATGTGCGTATGTCAGCTATTTTATGTCGTTCTCTGACTACATAATGATAATAAGGCTTTTATTTAGTAGTTATTCTGACTTTACAGTTAAATGTTAATTAAAAATGAAAATTCAAAAATTAAGCAAAGGGAATATCTTGGACATCCGTGCAAAAGAGAGTGTCTGAGAGTTTTGGCAACACTGATCTCCATAAGCGTAATGTTATTTTCTTAACTTGAAATAAAGAATAGTGTTGAAACATCTATTTTATTGTTAATATATAACTTTGATGAACATACACATAAAAACAACTATTACAATAGGTTAGACAAAACCTAGATTCATTTGTAAAAAAAATATGTCTTCTACAGCTTTCAAACTACAGTTAAGCTGCAGTCTTAAATTAAACTATCTTAATCCTCAGGAGCCCCACAGGGGAGCAAACTAGGACCATTGCTCTTTATTTTATTTAACAACTTGCCAGACTGTATTAAATCTTGTAACACCTTAATGTATGCTGACGATTTTAAACTTTTTAAAACAATCTCTAATAAGAAAGATGCAGTCAAATTGCAAGATGATCTAAGATCAGTTATTCAATGGTTTAACGATTCAAAAATGACTCCTAATGTTAAAAAGTGTGCAGTAGTTTCATATAAGTGAAAACTCAATGGTGTTATTGAAGATTATTACATTAATGATGATCAAGTTCAGAGAGTGAGTGTTATGAAGGATCTTGGAGTTAAATTCTAAATCAACATGAAGTTCAATATACATTTTTATGAAATAACTAAGAGAGGTGCTTTGGGTTTTGTCATTAGAAATAGCAAACATTTCAGAATAAATTATAAAACTCTATAATGCCCTGGTGAGACCACATATGGAATATGCCTCAATCATCTGGTCTCCTATTGCATTTTCAAACTCAGAAATGATTGAAAAATGCAAAAACGATTTTTTAGATTTCTATATGTAAGGAAAAACAAGAAATATCCATATGCAGTCTCATACAGGGTAATGTTAGACTCATTTCAGTTGCAGTAACTTGCCACTAGAAGAAACGGTCAGGCCATTATGATCATATACTTTATTGTTAACAGTATTAAGTACACAAACTGTAGTTTATTTGAGTTTATTTACTTTAAGAGTACCCAAGAGTAGGTTAAGAATAACTAACCTAGATCTATTCTTTACAAATTACTATAGAAACATTACACCAACAAACAATATGTTAAACATTTGTAATAAAGTATTTAGACTGACTCATGTGGATATATTTAATGTTAAAAGCTGTGAACTTAAGACATTGCTTGCTCATCAGCACTAGGTTTAAGGGGTTTATTGTATTTTTTCTTATTGTATTATTAATGTTCTTTTCTTTCATTCATTAATTGTATTTTTTTTGTCTTAAACACTTTACATGTAATTACTATTAGTCTATAGTGTTTGTAAGGTGTCTAAATAAATAAATAATATTCTTTACACTGTAATAGAATTTTCAGTAATATTCTAAAAATCAACATCTTGATACATATTCTAACTGTAATTTGCTCATCACAATGTCACTTGCTTGAAAGATTAGATCCAAGGTATTTAAATTCCTTAACTCTTTTAACTTGTTGTTCATCTATGAGAAGGTGTGCCTGCTTGTATTAATGTCTGCTTATAATTATAAGTTTAGTCTTGTTATTGTTAATGTTTAAGCTGTATTCACTCTCTGTACGATTGTTAAATTAAATTGAGGCAGTCGTAACACATTGATAGAAAATTCAAAATACTAGTAAAAAAATATCCACAAATATGACCACGAAAAATTCCTGAAGAAAGGAATCCCTAAAAACATATGCTATACGATTATTTTTAATACAAAAACGCTTGTAATAGTGTAGATTCTTTAGTGTAGCTCTGTTTAGTGTAGCTTGTGTTTATATCAATTTCTATTAATAACCAACTATAATATATAGTAATTATTAACTTACTTTTAAATTAATTACCTTTTTCCGGAAAACAGTAATTTTTGCAGATTTTTATCCTATTTCTCGTTCAAGAACCTAGTACAACTTATTTCCTTTAAACCTATATGTCTAGATTAACAGCCCTTTTGCGAGGTAGTTTCCTTTCTATAAATGCAATTAGTTCACAAGATTTGTTTAACAGTATATATACTATTAAAAGAGCTTTTTCCGACTAAATAAACTTTCTTTAAAATACGAATAATTGGGACTTAACTTTATTGAATGGAGATTTGATTTTGACATCCTATTCCCGACATTGTTTTCATGATTTATTTAGGTTATGTTTCAATTCTTGGACAATGTGTCAAAAAAGAAGAGTTAAGGAATAATTTTATTTTTATTAAAAAAGCGAAAAGATAAAATCACGAAAAAAGCGAAAAGAGTATTCTTTGTTGGTTAAAGGCTAAAGAACAACTTTGTTTATTTCACAGAGAATTACAAGGTTTCATAACTAAACATTTTTGAAATTCATTTTTTTTAAGTCCTCGAAAGTCTAAGGTGATAATTCAATTTTCAAAAGAAAGAAAGAAGACTGTTGATTTGTTGATCATAACCTTAAAATGTTTGTGTAAGTAAATTATAGTGTCATAATTTAAAATATTAAAATGAATTGTATAATTCCCGGTCCAAATTTAAAAGGTAACTCAAATATTCTAAACACACTTTTATTCTGACAAAATCTTTTACAGTATTTTCAAAAGCACTTCACGCACTAGCAAAAATTGGGGATGACTTGTATGTTGAAGCAACTAAGGAACGATTATGTCTCGTTACTTTAAATCTAAGAAAAACTGTGTGTGTTCGACTCCATCTACTAGAAATATTCTTTTCGAATTATGAAATTGAGGATAACCAATTAGGTGACAAAACACAAACAGTGTCATGTAAAATTCATATGAAAACGTTGTTACCTTTGTTTAAAGGGCACAACTTAGATAAAAAGGTAAGATGACTATCACTATGTGTAAAATAGAGAATATTTGAATGCCGCAAAAGTAGTATTGAGGTAAAAAATGTGAAAAATAACAGTTTTTCTATTATCTTTCAAATAATTATGTAACTTTATCAGTAAACTATATATTAACAATATTTATTTCAGTTAGACTATGTAAAAATTGAATATGAACACAACAATGATTTTATAATATTCAAAATGAAATATAAATGTGACGACATTTTGATGACACACAATCTTCGTTTGATGGAATCAGAAACTTTAACCATAGACATTTCATCTGAGTCAGGTTGCAATACTATCCTAACAACCAGTACATTTTACAATCAACTTCTAAATATGTTCAGTAATAGTGATGATGAAATCTTGTTTGAAGTTACCAAAAGCCAAGCAATTATTAGGAATTATTATGTAGGTGAGTAGGTATGTATACAGTCAGTGATAAATGTGTAGCAAATATTAATGAAAAGGTTATAGAGTTAAATTATGTTTTATGTTAACATATACAGTAGACTCGCGATTATCTGAGGTAATTGGGACCAGGACTACCTCGGATACCTAAAAAACTCGGTTAACATAGATTGGTTATATGTACTGATAAAAAAATGTGTACCTACACAAATAAAGATTAATGTGTTTATTTTAATAATTAAAAACTAATATAAAAGTAGTATAAAAGATAAAACAATTTACCTTATAAATGTTATTGTTTAAAAAAGTCTTTGATTGATTTTAGTTTTAACTTCATTCCTCTTTTTGAGGCGGCGATGTTGCGCCGGCGTTGAAAATTGAGCACATCTAATGGTGTCGATTCTTCTTGTTGCTCGATGTATGCGAGAACTGCTTCAAGGGACTTCAATCCATCGGAATGAGAAATTTTTTGAGTTATCTCATCTGTATCTTCTTCATCTTCTTCATGAGTGACGTTTAGAACTAGATTGGCAATTGCGTCATCTGTCAGTTCCATTTCTTCATCTAGATTCATCCAATCGATGATGTCTTGGTTTCCGATTGGTTGTTTTACTGGTAATTGATTGGCTAGGTTGGTTATATAATCAACTTCACAGTCATCAGTTTCATTTTGAACGTCTTGTGTTTTGTTGTGTATCTTAAATAATTTTTTCCACGACTTCTGAATAGTGGACACTTTTACATCGTCCCAAGCAGATGCAATCTAATAGCAAACATCTTTAACCGTGATTTTCTTCAATGTCTCAATTACAGTCAGCCCTTCATCCAGCTTAGTTAGCAGTACCTGAATAAGCTTCCGCCGATAATTCCTCTTCATTGCTTCTATAACGCCTTGGTCTAGGGGTTGGATGAGAGACGTCACATTGGGTGGAAGGAACACAGCTTGTATGTCACCACTAATCAATTCACTCGCATCTGGGTGGGATCGTGCGTTGTCCAACAACAACAAAGCTTTCCGAGGCAGATTTTTGTTTATTAGGTAGGCATCAATGACTGGCACAAAGTCATTAAAAAACCAGTCCTTAAAAGTGTTACAGTCCATCCATGCATTGCGTTGGTTGCTATAGATTGTACGTAAGCAATTTATTTGGACGTTTTTGAATGCTCTTGGATTTCTGGATTTTCAGATTAAAAGAGGTTTTAATTTTAATGAACCAGAAGCATTGTTGCAAATCATGATTGTGACTCTCTCTTTGCTTTTTTTGTAACCTGGTGCAGTTCCTTCATTTTTAGCAGCTAGTGTTTTCGATGGAAGCATTTTAAAGTTAAGGCCTGTCTCATCACAGTTAAATATTTGGTCTGAAGTTAGTCCATCTTTAAGGATATTGTCTTGTAATTTTAAATAAAATGTTCCAATTTCAGTTGAGTCAGCAGAAAGTTTTTTGCCACAAATATTCAATTGTCGGATACTATATTTCTTTTTCCATAAGTCAATCCATCCTTCACTAGCACAAAAGTTTTTTCCTCCATCCATAAACTTCTTCTGGAATTCGATAGCTTTTGCTTGGAGTATTGGACCACTTATCGGACTGCCCAATCCTCTCATTTGTGAAAACCACAAGAACAATGCCTCAGAAGTTTGTTCATAGTTCCCTTTCTTCATAGTCTTCCGGGCCAATCCACTACCACCACTCACACTTCGGTCAACCCACTGTTCGATTTTATTCCGTTTATGCTTCCAATCTCCAACAGTTACTTCTCTGACACCTAAATCTGAAGCAACCTTCTTTATTGATTCACCCTTGTCCAACCTCTTAATTGCATTCACTTTTGTTTCTAAAGATACAACTACTCTCTTCCGCTTTTCACTCTTATTGCACAGAAAGATGCTCTCTTATACTCACAAAAATCAACTTATGAAAAATTAATTATGAAACTTAAACTTATAAACTCGAATAAATACACAAAACACTACATAAAAGCAAAAATTTCACCGTACAGTAATTTGACTTAATTTGACGATCTGAACGGCAGCAAACAAATAATTTGACGATCTGAACGACAACAAACAAATCGGTAGTTCAATTCACACTGATTAACATAGAAAGTAACAGGAAGTTGTAGACAAAACACGACACAGAAATTTCTGGAAATAAGGCAGTGACCAATTTCTGAGAATACCAACTCGACATCAGCTTGACCTAAACACAATTCTCTTCTTATCAATAGTCCACAATTTTCAATGGATTGCCCATATAACAGCTGGCGATATAACTTGTTACCATCGACCCTTTTTTTATTACTCGATATTGTGATTCAACAAGTACGGCTATAAAAGTAAACCCCAGGCAAAATTTTGCCTCGGTTAACCGAGGGGCTCGGATAACCAAGACTCGGATAATCGAGAGTCTACTGCATCATGCAATGGTTTTTAACACCTTCGCTGCCGACTATATTTTCTAAATGAATGCCTTCGTGAGCCAACCATTCCTTTTTTTTAAGCGCGTCTATGAGCCACCATATAACAAATGTGTTGATCCCATCGGGACAACGCGGCCCAGTGAACCATACTAATGCTTCTGTGCGCCGTTGGTCCATCGCAGTAAACATAACGTAACATAAATAAACAAATGCGCATTGTGTATTGTTCTTGTTGATTGTTTTTTATTTCAATACATTGAAAGAATAAATTGCTGTAAGTATTAAATAATGTTTAAAATACAATACTTTTAGAACATATTGTGTAATTCTAGATGTCTCAGCGTTCTAAACCTCTGACAGAGCGTGAATTGCAAAACATTGCAATAGAACGTCACTCCAGAAAGCTTTGTACTGTACTCTAATAGTACATCAAGGAAAAACGCTGATAACCAAAAATTGGTCAAAAAAAAAAGTTGGCTGTTGATACACACCTGATAGGAACTGTTTGAAAAAATCGAAAATATTTACCCCAAGAAGTAGTAGCTGCTCCAAAACAATAATACGCCCAGTCAGAAACCTGGACTTTAACAAAAAGCAATGAAAACATGTTAGGATGTTTCGAAAAAAAAAAAAACTGAGGCTAAAGGTGTCTGGTGTCTGGAGAAGACCATATAACTTCGAACTCTATAGAATATACCAGGAACCAGATATCGTAAAACACATTAAGATGGGACATCTGAGGTGGGTAGGCCATGTAATGCGGATGGAGCAAACCGACCCAGCTAGAAAAACGCTCCTTGATAGACCTATTGGTCAAAGAAGAAGAGGAAGACCCAGAACAAGATTCCTAGATAACATAGACCAAGATATGAGAAATATGGAAATACATGATTGGCAGAGGAAGGCGATGGATAGGGACGACTGGAAAATAATTCTTGGGGAGGCTAGGACCCACACAGGGTTGTAAAGCCAAAATGATGATGATGATGAAGTAGTAGCTGCAAAATTAAATAAAGGGCAAATTGCTTCTATGGAAAATGATGATGGAGTGACCATTACGAACTGGAGAGACAAAAGAAATATTTACATGCTTTCTAATAAACACGGCAATGAAATGGTCGTAGCATCTTGTAATTAACAAACTAAACTGAAGCACAAGGTGGTAATAGATTACAATAAAGGAAAAGCGGCAGTAGACTTATCTGACCAAATGGTAGCGTATTCCAACTTCCTTAGGAAAAGCGTAAAATGGTTTAAAAAAGTGAGGTTTGAATTATTATTAACTACATCAGTTATAAATTCTTTTTTAATATATAAGTTTGTAACAAATAACAATATGTGGGTGACAGATTTTAAAAAACAAATAGTGCAACATCTAGTTACTTATAATGAAACCACCACAGTACCAAGAAGAGTGTCAAATAATCTCCATCAGCTTGAACAGAAGGCAGATGGAAGTAACCATCAACGAAGGAAGATTTACAAGAACTGTTACAAAAAAAAATAGTGAGCAACACTACACACCTAGCTTATAGGTTGGTTTAATGAATAGAACTTAAATAACTTTGTTTATTAGTTGTTTTACATTATTTGATTTTTCTGTTGTTGAAAAACATGTTTGTAACAATAAATATTATCCCAAAGTTGTAAATAACGTTTTTGATTTATATGGGAGCACATTTGTCATATTCCATAAATCGCACAAATTCTGTATACAGTACATAGCTTGTAGCCCTCGTTGGTGCATTTCCATAGTTATTTAATACTAAATAAATACCAATGAATTGGTACATATCAGAATAAATGTTGGTCCCATAGGGCCAACATGGCCTGTTAATGCAAAACGTGGCCTATTGAAGCAACATCAGCGATGGCCTCATCGGATCAACATGATAGGGAACGTGTTAATATAGATTAATAAAACAACAGCGAGAATCAAATTTGAAGTATAGCAGTGAAATACCATCGTTGTCCACTGTTTTTTTTTGGTTTTTTGAATATAATTATAGTAGTACTGCTCTTTTTGGCGAATTTTGTCTTTCCAACAATGTTTGTTGAGGCTAATTTATGCTTTGAGGGGTAATTTTTGACACATTATTTTATAAAATTTGTGATTATTTTGAAAAAATATCTACATTAATAATAAAAAATTTAATAAACATTAGCAAAACGTAATTAATTATCAGAAAAAGTAAAAAAAGCTATGTGCTTTTTAATTTCGTGTATTGGTTTATCTTCTATTTTTTTTTGTATTAGCAAGCAATTGGAACAATTAAAAAGGATAAACAGAACAATATAATCTTGCGAGAATCTCCCTGATGTAGAAATTTATATTTGAAGATCTTTTCTAAAGACTAAAAAGTTTAGTTTTTCTGTCTAGCAAAATACCAGTTCAAATCATGATTGAGTAGCCTGAAAAATTCTTATGATGTATAGTTTGGCTTCGCCAACTCTGTGGCATCCATCTTGTTGAGTTTAAAATCATATTCCTTTAAGTGTCCTGTATGTGTTTGAGCACTCAGAGCTCATTGTCATAATCTTCTTCTTCTTCAGTGCCTTATCCGGTCCGGATGTTGGCGATCATCAAGGCTATCATGGTTTTGTTGACTGCTCTGCGAAACAGCTCCGCTGAGGTCATCCCAAACCATTGTCGGAGATTTTTCAACCACGAGATACGATGGCGTCCCGGTCCTCTTCTGCCAAATACTTTACCCTGCATAACGAGTCGAAGAATTCGATATTTTTCTTCGTTCCGCATCACGTGGCCGAGGTACTCAAGCTTACGTTGTTTAATTAAATAAATTAAGAACTTCTTTTTCTTTTGTCATGCGCTGTAGGACCTCAACGTTGGTGACATGGTCCACATAAGATATTTTTAGTATCCTTCTGTATATCCACATCTCGAAGGCTTCGATTCGTTTTGCAGTGGCTTGCGTCAGTGTCCAGGCTTTAACTCCATATAGTAACACTGGAAGAACATAGCACCTCACTATCCGCATCTTGGTTCCCAAACTGAGATCACTGCAGCACAGCAAGGATCTCAACTTAATAAATGTAGACCGTGCCATTTCAATTCTGGATCTAATATCTTGAGCGTAGTCCCATTGTGAGTTAAGGGTAGTTCCGAGGTAAGTGAATCTGTCGACTCTCTGGATCTCTTCGCTACCTGCCATTAGTACCCCGGGATCTAAATTTGTACGGCTGACAACCATGAATTTAGTTTTCTTAATATTAAGTTTCAGTCCGTATGTTACGCTCACAGTTCGCACTCGGTCTAGTAAGGCCTGCAGATCGTTTAGGCTGGTTGCTAGTAACACAGTGTCATCGGCGTAGCGGATATTATTGATGTATTCACCGTTCACTCGGATTCCCATTTCTAGGTTTGTGAGGGCTTCAGTAAAAATCTCCTCAGAGTATATATTGAAAAGAGTCGGCGAAAGCACACATCCTTACCTTACTCCTCACATGATCTTCACTTGGTCGGTCAGCTGGTCTTCGACCTTGACTCGAGCACGCTGGTTCCAGTATAAATTCATGATGATCCGAATGTCCTTCTCATCCAATCCTACTCTTTGTAGCTCGGTGACCATCTTCTGGTGCTGACAACGGTCAAATGCTTTGGCGTAGTCAATAAAACAAATATAGACATCACAACTGACATCGCGGCATCTCTGAAGTAGGACTTGTAAGGTGAAAAGTGCTTCACGTGTACCCATGGAATTGAGGAATCCGAATTGCATTTCACCGACATCTTCTTCGCATTTCTAATAAATTATGGCATGTATGATTTTAAGAACCATTTTAAGTACATGACTCATAAGACTGATAGTTCGGAAATCTTCGCACGTTTTCGCAGATCGTTTTTTTTTTGGTAGCATTACAAATGTGGACAATAGCCATTCCTCTGGGATATTACCTGAATCGTATATGGCCTTACCATTCTTAGACTGTTTTAAAGCCGCCTTTACCTCGCTTTCTAGAATTGACGGCTCTGTCATGCAATTTATTTCCGGAAGGTTGCCTCGGTCGTCCCAGAAAAGTTCTTCGATATATATTTTCCAGGTAACCAACTTCTCATTCACTGTCGTCGCCAGATTACCGTCTTTATTTACGAGGAGGTGTGTGTTTCTCCTCGTGTATTGACCAGTGGCTTCACGAATCTTTCGGTGGATATTTATATGATCGTGTTTCTCTTGGAGCTCCTCGATTAGTTTACATTTATCTTGCATCCATGTCTCCTTGGCTCTCCGTATTTCTTTTTTAATTGTCTGGTTGGTTTATTGGTATTTCTTCGCGTCCCTGTTTTTCATTAATCTTCTTTGTTCCATCATCTGCAGAATGTCATCAGTCATTCATTCTTTATTTTTTACTCTTTTTTTCTTTCCCAGATGTTCTTTTCCCGCATTCAGCATGACGTCTTTGATATAACTCCATTTTTGTTCTACACTATGTTCTTGTTGTTGAGCCGTTCTAGTTTTTGTCTTATTGTATCTCTCACGTTCTGACGAACTACGAGGTCTTTTAGAGTGTCATAATCCAGGTTCTGTTTAGGTTTATTTTTGATGAGTTTCTTTAGTTTGAGTTCTATCTGGCCCACGAGTGGGTTGTGGTCCGATGAGACATCTGCTCCTGGGAAGTTCTTCGCCGAAGTCAAGCTGTTCTTGAATCTTTTGTTAATGAGAATAAGTCTATCTGGTTTCTGATGATATTGCTGGTTCTATCTGCAGGTGACTTCCACGTATAAAGCCGTCTCTGGGGAAGTTTAAACCACGTGTTAGCAATGGTAAAATCTTCTTCCCGGCAAAATTGTATGAGTCGGTCTCCTCTTTCGTTTTTCTCGCCTAAGTCATGTTGTCCGACGATGTCTTCTACACTGCTTTTGCCAACTTTGGCATTGAAATCACCCATGATGATGGTTAGCTCGCAGGTTGGCACCTAGATGATAATCTCCATTGTCTAAAGTCATTGCACCATCTCAACCATCTCTGAGATTTTGAAAGGTCAAAAATCATTAGTTTCTTTAGTAACTTCTGTGCCTTGAGTTACACTATTTCCTTTATGCTTTGGTTAAGTTTCAAACATTAATATCTGGTTTATTCAGTGCACTTCATCCATCTTCTACTGACAAAATATGTCTTTCCTCAATGAAAGTTATTGTACCTATTTGTATTAGAATGTGTATTTTTTAACTACTGATATCAATTTTAGGCGCTCCTGTTCGACCAAAGTCTGTAAGAAGTCAAGTGAGCCCAAATGGATCAGAATTTATGATATTTCAAATAGACCAAGAAACAACAATCAACTTTTCATTGAAACCATTTCGAACTGCTATACAGTTTGCGGAGGGATTCAATTTGAATATTAGTCTTAACTTTGAAGCAGGAGGAAAGTAAGGATTCGCTTTTAAATATACTGTAATATATTAAAACATTGTCAAATTTGTTTTAGGCCTCTTTCTGTGGTGATGAAAAACCCCACCTTTGAAATGAACTTTCTAATAGCAACATTAAATCCTTACAATGATAATCAAAGTACAATCGCGACGTCTATACCGGCAAAAATAACACAAGCAAATAGTGATGGTGTCCATGATATAACCACAGATGATCAAGAAGCACTACTCAATGAAAATTGGGACGATTTCAGCATAGATACCAATAAAACATCAACAAAATCAACAGATAAGAAGAGGAATAAGAAGATATTTAGTTTTCGTGAAATATCAGAAAAGGATAAGACAAGAAGCAGCATTAATAGTGATGAAAACTTTGATAACAATCATAACTCACCCATGGAAATGGATCAAGATGTTGTACAGAGATCTCCCGAATCACCTACGAGAAAAAGAGCCAAGCTAGTATTTGGAAAATGTTTTGAATCAACATTTTCAAGAGATAATCTCGGTAGTGTCTTAGCACCAAACTCAGACTCAGAATAGAGAGTGCAGCTACTCAAAAAAACTGTTATTTCTTCATCAGTTTATTTGTTATAACATATTAGTGAGATGTCACTCTCTTTGTAGAGGTTAGGTTAATAATTTATTTAATAAATCTTCCAAATAATTCAGGACTGAACATTATAGTGTAATGTAGGTACAACATTGAATATTCTATAAGTGGGTAATTACAGCTTCTTGTTGATCTTAAGCTATTCAGTTTCCAATAGTCTTACCAGATTTTTATATTAAAATTTTAGCAACACTGCAGTTTCTAGAATATTTTAATCCTTTTAATAATCTTCTAGTAGGCTTCTCCATTGCATGTGTTAACTATTAGTTCCAACTAATTACTGTTGTGATACCCATTCTCATTTTCAATGATCTTCTCCAAAATTAAAAAAAATCTATTTGTTTTATTTTTAGTCAAGTGGGGACACTTGAATGTTGAATGACAAGACAGAATACTTGTAGTTAATGAATATTATTATTAATTATTAAGTGTAAAATTATTAAATGTAAAAATGTATATAAACGACAGTATCAGCTAGGTTTAATTAAATTAAGCCTTTTAGGTTTGTAGTAAGAGTATCAATTAATTTATATTTTGTAAATATATATTTTTTATCAAATTAAAAAACCCTTTATTTTTCTATTTATTTACCAACCACATACTAAAGTTTCACTTTATCGTAGAAGGTGTCTTGGTCTTGGGTATTGTTAGTAATACCTCTGTTTGTCTAAATCCTTCACATCTTCTATATACAAACTGTATCAAGTATATAATGGGACAAATTAAAATATATAACAAATTTAGGCGTTCAACTGTTAATTTATTTATTTTTTTAATAGTTATGATAATAATGATAATATGCAATATTTTAAATGACGTACAGGTAATCATAAAACGTAATTACTATTGTTTTATACAACCCACAAAAACTATTAACCCTCCGTTAGTTGCTAGGAAAAACTGAGCATCAAGAGTCGCTACAGTGTCTGAGACCGACAATTAAAAAAATAGTTATTCCTATAAAATTCATACAAATATTTTATATAATATGTAGGAATGACTGAAAAATATTTTTGAAAATGCTTTATTGAAAAACAACAGATACAAAACGAAAAACACTAGTATAACAATATATTGTTATTTGTAATATAAAATTAAATAAAAAAAAGTTTTTCTAATCTTTGAAATGGAAAAACAGTTCGTAATTTTTAGTTAAGAGGAATACAGATTAACTAAAAAAAAATAACTCAGGTTTTTAACAAAAATATAAAGTAAGCATTTCACTTGATTTAGAAAGTGAGCATTTTATGTTGTATCGTCACTCAGGCAAAGCTGACATATTCCATGAATATGTTCAAGGCACATTGTATGCATGAAAGTGATTATACCTGTTCTTTTTGGTAGTACAAAAGGCACAACGATCCTTTGTTTGATTTCTTTCTGGAATTGTAGGAGTTACATGTGTGATGCCACAATTTTCGCGAATTCAGCATTTGAATCTAACTGGCAGATTTGTAGTAAATCGACATTTTAAATAGGTATATATAAGCTCGTTTGCAAGGTTTCTTAGAAAATCACGTCGTTTCACGTTTTTCTCATTCTTATCGTTTGCATTGAAGATAACCATTAAATTAATGCTAGATATTCAATATGGTATAGAATATAACCATTGGCCAACGCTTTGGGCTTCTTGAACAGTTGTAGTTAGCCCTGAGCTGGTCTACAATGTTGACTCCTATTTTTGTTGAATTGTATAGGATAATTTCTGGTTGATTTTGATTACCTTTACCACATTTTTATTTTTTTAAGAATAGAAGCTAGTGTAATATGTTGATTAAAACCAAACATACTTGAATTTATAGGATGCTTTGGTTTTGTGAATTCAAACGACAATTCTCTTTTATTCTTCCTAACGGTTGCCACTACTGTAATTTTCTTCTCGTATAACTTGTTCACCAACTCGATACTTGTAAACCAGTTATCAATTGTTAGATTCTGACCTGAATTATAAATAGGTTCACATAGCCGCTGAACAACATTAACAGGTAACATTAGGAGATTAGGCAAAAAAGAAGAATAGAAAGTAGGGCTGACACCAACAAAATACAGAGTCTAAATATATACCCACAGGTACCATATATATATATATATATATATATATCACTTTTTCCGGTACTACATTACCAAAAAATGTATATATTTGTGGCATAGAACATAAGGTTCTTCTTTATATATTACGGTGATTCAATTGTATAACTGTTTAAACTATAGTCATGTTAAAAAAATATGTAAAAGTAACAAAAGTAAATACTTACACTGCGTTTCTTCATAACATAAGATGGGGGCCTATAATCTAAATGAAAACATTGTGACAGTGTGGAGCATAACAGGAGCTGTCCAAAGTAAAAAAGACAAAAAAATATTAGGGAATATAATATGTCATTAGATAATTTATCGTTCTTTGAAGCATCAGAATCCTTTCCTAAAATTAATAAAAATCAAGAATTTGTCTAATACAAACAAGATTTTCCTGCATTAAAAAATATAATATCTGAGGATAATGCGGTAGATATACATCAGAGAAGGAGTATTCATAACACTGACGTGGGTAGTGAAAACAGTACCTACAGAGAGGCAGTAACTAATAACCAAAAGAGAAAAAATAAAGATACAAAACAAACATATGATAAAAAATTCTGTTAAGAACGTTTAATCGTAATACAACTCCAATAATAGAAACAAGTTCAAATAGTACAAACATATATTATGTTTCAGATTCTGTCTAAGGATCTAGTAGGGAATAACTCCTCAGCGAGTTAACTCATCGTATTGCTAGGGATCACTTTCATATAGACGATATAATGAATCTAGCACAAAAGCTAGAAGATCTCTAGCTTTTATGCTAGATAGCTAGAATGTTTTACCTCACATAAGATAAGTGATGACTCAAGACTTTCAGTAATTGCTAATTATCAATTTTACAATGGAAATTGCAGTATTAATAGTAATAGAGATAGTTTGTTAAGGTTTATCAAAGAAATTGATCAGGACATACTTATATTAAATGAAACTTAGCTTAAATGATTTGTTTTAGCAGTAATAACTTTATGAGATAATCGTAACGTTTCTTCTTCTTAGGGTGCCTGTCCGTTCCGAACGTTGGCGATCATTCTGGCTATGATGATTTTGTTGGTTGCTATACGAAATAGCTGTGTTGAGGTCTTTCTATACCATGCCCTCAGGTTAGCAAGCCAGGATATTCTTCTTCGTCCCGGGGCTCTTTTTCCTTCAATTTTACGCTGCAAAATGTATTGGAGTAGCTCGTATCTGCCTTGATTTCTCATAATATGTCCCAAGTACTCCAGCTTACGGCTCTTCACAATGTTGACCAAATCCGCGGTTGTGTTCATCCTCCGCAGTACTTCTTCATTGGTGACTTTGTCTGTCTATAGTATCTTCAGGATTCTTCTGTATAACCATAATTCAAACGCCTGAAGTTTTGATAGAGTTTCCGCCTTCAATGTCCACGTTTCTACTCCGTACAGAAGCACTGAGTACAAGTAACATTTAAGGAGCCTTATTTTTGTTTTCAGGATCGTAAAGATAATTATAGGGAAATTGCAACTTTAATAAAATCAAATATACATAGATAATCCAAGATCTCATACAAATTTCCAAGTCATAGGTATTATCATATTCCTCTTAGAGGAATATGATATACAAATTCTAAATGCATATAATCCATCTGGCACTAGGATACAGGATAATGGTTTTAAAGATATAATACATTCTGTTCACGATCCATTCATAATCGTGGAAGATCTGAATGGTCATTATCCAATGGGGAGGTAATAACTATTCTGATATAAATGGTAAAATTATTATGAAAAGTATCGAAGAGGAAAATTCAGTCATGCTTAATGATGGTACACCTACAAGATTGAGTCAACAAGGTCAAAGTCCATCTGCATTGAAACTGACCATTTCGTCTGCTGTATTGGTTGTGAATAGTGTATGGGAAGTATATATAATATTAACTAATTGAAAATCTCTAATGAAAGAAATTATCCAACTGGGGTCAATATTATCAGGATATAGAAAACTGATTAGTAAGTAATTGCATGAGTGAAGTAGATTATGATGATTTAATTAATATTGTTAATGATGTGACTTCTAAAACTATTCCTTTTTTATAAAATAGGACATCACAACAAACAGTACCTACTCCCTGGTGGGAGTGATAAATTAATCTGCTTAAGAAGGAATGCTATCAAGAATTATAAAAGTAATTCAACCTTAGAGAATTATGTAGAATATATAAAAAAAATAAAAGCATATGTCAAAAGGAACTGAAAATGCAAGAAAAAAGATAGTTTTAGAAAATTTTGCTCTTCTATTAACAGAGATACTCCTACTACCCACAAAATTTAGGAAGACAGTTAAAAACTTTAAATATAATCAAAATTTGACACTCCTCTCGCTCGTGACAGGGGAGTAGGCAGATTGAGACTCCGAACTCGAACGGAACCATACCACTCTTGACAATGGCTCCAAAATGGGTGCTGAAACGTCGAGTATTAAATTCTCAACGCGGTTCTTCCCGAGAACTTAGTAATTTTTATTCATCTGACCGCGGAAAATGTCCCAATTTATTCCTGGGCTCATCATTATTTCCTAATGAAGTAACATACAGTATTATACTGCAAAAAGTATAATAATCAAGTAATATATGAGTAGTAGATAACACGATTAAAAACATTGTCCAAATCAATCTTAAAGGTCTGCAAATTTTTCACATTGAACAGAATACACTAAAACTTTTTCCTAATACACAACATATTCAATTAAAACATTTTTAATGCACCATTTCACATACAAAATATCAAAAAGTATCAAGGAAGTCTTAATTTCTTTCCTTGCTTGTATTTGAACAGAGCTTTCAAAACTTTCCGTTTGGCCCTAGAATAAATAAAAACCAAACAACTCAAATTTGTGTTTTTTATTTAACATTGCTAACAATCACAAACAAATCTTGGGTAATATAGTCAACAAATGGGGCTAACTTTCAGGCATAACGTCGTTGTGCGAGTATAATCTGCTATGTACATTTTTTGGTAAAATTGAGTTATGAGCACAGAAATTCTCAAAATTTAATTCTTAATACATTGGTATAACCTGCTATAGGCTATGAATAGAATTAACCAAGTTATAAACATTTGGTTAAAATCTGCTGTGTTCAGGTTAGGTAAAATCAGCTATGTGCTGAAATTGCATATAACTGAAATTGCTCTTTGTAAAAGTTGAGCGACTACGTGCACTTTATTTTACACGTTTTTAACAGATTTTAACTGTATTAAATTCTCCGCTGTAACTATATTTTAGGCACTTTTATATTAAAAATACATTTTTTTGTGTTAATTTCATTATGAATTTGACTGATTTATTTTTTTAACCTCTGCTGAAATGGAACAAATTTTGAATGAAAGTACATACTACCGACAACGAAGATTTTAGCTCGGATAATGACTATAATAATCCAAATTGGACGCCAATCATAACCACTTCTGCCCGCGTCCAAATTCTGCTTCTATATATGGGAGAAACAACTTTGGTCAATCAACCCCCAGGCACACCAGCTGTCGACAAGCCTGAGAATACAACTGCGGTCTATCAGCCCTAGGACACGACTGCTGTCAATCAACCTAATAACACGTTTACGGTAAACCAATCTCTCGACACAGCTGTGGTCGAACAGCCCCAGGACACACCGACAGTCGACCAACCTCAGGACATAGCTGCGGTCGACCAAACTGAGGAATCCATTACTAGGTTATCCAGGAAAACAGCACCAGCTTATAAGAGATGGACAGTTAAAAAGAATCGATTGATGGGAAAAAGATGCATTGGCTTCAAGAAAAATGAAGAAGAAAAGATAACTCAGGCAGTAGAAAGACAGGAGAGAGGTGTACTGCTAAGATGTAAACATGACGACATCCAACAGAAAACAAAAATAACTCATTTATGTGCCCAAATAACAGACGACGAAAGAAAACAGATTAACATAACAGAATATAACAAGTTGGAAGGCAAAAAGAGTTTTCGTACAAAGTAATGTTGACGTAAACTCTCCGAAACAAAAAAAAAAGAGGTAACCAAAACAATGTTGAACCGAAGAAAGCCTGTTCACGTGATTGCCATTTAAAATCACCTTCGTCATGCAATCGAATCTTTGTGTGTCGAACTTTTTTTCTAAACACACTTAATCTTGGTCGTGATACATTTTTACGATGGACGGCACCAGCAAACACTACAGGTACAAACGATGTAACAGAGCTAGCTGTAGAAGAAGAAAGTAATCCTGTATCTAAATCAGAAATTAGTCGTAAAAATGTTGAAAGATGGACTGAATTCTCACCGACAGTTCCAAGTCATTATTGCAGGAGTCAAGACAGAATATCAGTATGTTGAAAGTAATTTTAAATCATAGGTACAATAATATGCACAAAATCGACATGCTGGTGTGTAGAAAATAATATTGATTCAGTGTCACGTAAGATTATGTGCCAGATATTAGAAAAAAAAAAAAAAAAAAAAATCTCCATACATCATCCTCGCAAAGACTGATGCGACAAGTGTGTTGAGTTTGAAACTGGAAATGTAAGCAAGCCGGAGTATGACTTCCACATTGTAATGAAGAATGAAGCACGTGAAGCCAAGGCAGCTGCAAAAGAGTCTGCTTCAGAAACAAGACTTGTAGTAACGGTGGATTTGCAGTGTGTTCTATTGAGTTCAAAACTGCTCGCACCTCTTGCTTACTATCGGCATAAACTTCAGTTGTAAATTTTACATTATAAATCCTGAAATCAAAATATGTATTCATGTACGTATGGCACGAAGCCGATGGCCAGGTATCATCAAACGAATTTACGTCATGTATTGTGAACTTCATTTGTAACTGTCCACATAGTTATTCAAGGTGAATGGAGTATTGATCAACAACATACGATATGCTGATGATGGTGTCTTAATTTGTGACAACATAGTCGATCTTCAACAACTTGTCACTATAATCGGAGAATACAGTGAGCGAATGGGACTAGAGATTAATACCAAAAAGACCAAATTCATGATCATCTCCAGAAACTTGGATGCATTTGACAACTCCACCATAACACTGAATAGTAAATCCATAGAAAGAGTGAGTAAATTTAAATACCTGGGATCGTGGCTTTTTGAAGACTGGGCATCGGACAGGGAAGTAAAATGTCGCATTGAGCAAGCTCGACAAGCTTTCGTAAAATTCAAGAAGGTACTGACTTGTTCTGAGTTCGATCTTCAACTGAGACTAAGGTTTACTAAGTGCTACGTATGGTCAGTGCTGCTATATGGCGTAGAGGGCTGGACACTCAAAACGAGGGATATAAACAGATTGGAAGCTTTCGAAATGTGGCTTTATCGCCGTATCCTAAAAATACCATGGACAGCGAAAATCACAAATATAGATGTCCTTAAAAGAATAAACCAAGAACGCCAACTTTTCGAAACCATCAAGAAAAGAAAAACGGCGTATCTAGGTCACATCATGCGAAATGAAAAATACCAGTTCCTCCAACTTATAATCGAGGGTAAAATTGAAGGCAAGAGAGGAATGGGACGCAAGAAAATGTCCTGGCTCCGAAACATAAGGCAATGGACAGGGATTAACGACATACAATCTCTGATACATATTGCAAGAAATAGAGAGTTAATGGAAAATGTGATCGCTAACATCCATTAGTGGATTTGCATCTGAAGAAGAAGAGAAGACATAGTTATACAGAGTTCGTTTTGGTATCCGATGGTTGCAATTATCAGAACCGAAGCAAAGTTTTGTGCAGTGCTCCAAGTGATCTGGCCAAAGAATAGAAAGTCACAATTGAGCGGATCATACTTGAATCTGGTCATACTATGATGGAAGTAGACTTGGTTCACTCGACACTGGAATCTGTGTTCATAGCTCCAATAATGACGCCATCTCACTATGTAACACTAATGAAATCAGCAGGACCGGGTCAGCCTTATGTTGTGAATCAAGTACATTATGAGTTTTTTTTTAAACTATGAAAGTGTTCCATCAAATTTCAACAGCACAAGACTGAGGAAGTCTGTAGGAGATCCATGAGTTGTCGAAATACAAGCACTCAAATACACTCCTGATGGGTGTGTATATTTCAAACTTTGACATCCTGAGGACCATGCTTTGCTGCCACAAAGACGCCCTAATACACTCTTCAACCCTATACCTATGCTTTATGACAGTCAACGACCTATTGACAAGCAAAAATATGATAATTTACAAGTTCTCAAAAGATTTATACACTGGGAAAGTCATGCATTCTATGACAGTTTGACACACAAATAAGTTCAAACTAAACTAGAAAATGTTTCAGAAAATTTAATGTTTTGTTTAGAAGTTTCTAATTGTTGTTTCTGTTTTTTTTTAATTCACAATAAACATAGTTGAATATTCATTTGTTTTATTTTTAAATCAATAATAAAAGAAAAAAAAATATTTGAACATGTTAGGCAAAATCTGCTATTTACTAAAATCTCCTATTTACTAAAATCTCCCAAGTAAAATCTGCTATGTAATTTTTTTTTCACAAAAACAAAGTAACTCTCAGTGCCTATTTCAGACTTAGTAAAATATGTTTTTACATTAACCATATAATTATTTTACATATATCTTCCACAAACAACTATCTTACACAACGTACCATTTTCAAATAAAACAGTTTTATGTCTCCTCTGTAAAATTTAGTTTTCTACACATAGCAGATTTTGCTTGCACAACGACGATAAGCATTCTCTTAGTCAAAATACTTGCCAGTTTGTTTTATGAAGATCATTTAAAAATACATAATATTGTAGGTTGTTCTAATATAAAACCTTTAATATCCACAATTATAACAGAAATTCTTTAAATAGTAAAGACTTGAAGAGAAAAAAACTACAAAACAAATCAACAACACAATGCTATAATTTTTGTTTCATGGAAACCAATTACATAAATACTTATTGTTTAATGGCACATCAAATACATACATTCTAATTGTTACTTTAAAAACACAGCAGATCTAGCAAATCATAAAAATATAACAACACAGTAACAGTCATAAAAATATATATAAATGCCATATCAAAAACCATATATCTAACATACCTATGATTAGTCAGTGATTTAATAAATCCTCTTAAATGTTTAGACTACCATTTTTTAATCAGCCACAAACTCAATTAGTATTTAAAAAGAATACTACAAGTTGGACAAAAAGATGGTGACTTAAACAATATATTGATTATGAATGACAATAAACTACTACTGAATCAAGCAATATACTGGGAAACCACACATTCATTAGAATATTGGTTTTACTGAGCACATGTAACAAATGAGAGTCCAAACCACCTTTTATTAAATCTGACAATCATGCACTCTAGTTATGCTGAATGTTGCTTCTTAGGTTTAACCTTTAATTCTTCTTTACAGTTCTCATACAACCCTTTGAGACCAAATACATTAGTAACATTTTCTTCAGTAAAAGAGAATTTGATCAGTTTCCCTTTAGTATCAGCCATTGGTCTCCTTATTACTTCTTTTCCGTCTTGGAATAAAATTACAGAAGGTAACTGTTTGCTCATGCTACTATCGTTTACATGGTACTTCTGCCCAGCATCTGGGTACCTCCCTATATCTATTTTACCAAATTTCAGATTTTCTATATTATATATAGTACTAAGTTTAGAAAAAACTGGTGCAAAGTTCACACAGGCTGGATTCCAAACTGCATAGAAGGTAACAATCCATGTAACCTTTTTGTCTCTCTGCAATTCTTCATCCAGTCCTTGAACACCTCTGAAGTATGTCACATTGTCAGGACCTGCGTAGGTAGGCTCAGGAAATAACAATGCTCCCACTGAAAACATAAAGTTAATTAAAACAGGGCGTACAGTGCAAACATACATAAATATTACCAAAGATGAGGTGTACTACTTAACAAATCAGTCTCTTCTATACTTACAAATGAACACTATTCCATAGACAATTCCCATAAAAAGATCCGCACTGAACCATAAAATTAAATTAGCCACTTTGGTATAAATGAAACTAGAAGACAAATAATTTATCATAGAAACACTGCCTGCTTTTCTAGTCCTTATTGCTATAACTATAATAAGAAAGAATAAAATTTCCGTTTCTCTCTGGAACAAAAGAAAACATTTTACTATGGTCAGTTAGATATAATAAATATAACCTACCCCCTCAAATTCACAACCACTTGTGACAAATAAATAATTGCATACTCCTGGTGTTCTTTTCAAAGCTACATAGGATAGACTTAATAATATATTAAATATATAATACGGTTTAAGAACCTGCTTTAAATCTTGCTTGAAAGACATTTTTAATTTAAAATTCTCAACTAATTGGCAAATTTATGACTTAGATTTAATTCATTATTATTTATTTAAAGACAGGATGACAGGAAGATTCGATTTGACAGCACATGCGTTAAGTGACATATGGTCGTCAGTGTGGTGTGAAGTCAGCAGCACGGTTCCTAGCTACGAACCGTGAGTCAGCAGTAAGCATTTAATCCATCAATCATAGACGGAGGAACTTTATATTCTATAGGGATTTAAAATTTACCGAAGGTTACTGTAATTTACCCACCTATATTAAATTAATGACTCATTTAATTAAATTTAGTAAAGAGTAATGTGGAAAACGTATATAAGTGCTGCATATAAAAGATCATCAAAAACGTCCAAACATCCTATTATATACCGCATCTATAATATGCATTCACTAGAATGTGGCCTGTGGCCTGATTCTAACGTATCGGGATTCTAGAATGTATGATGTTCTTCTAAAATGCTTTTGTTTTGTCACACCAAAAATATTCTAAACAGATTTATTTTGATATTGTGAATGCATATGAAAATGCAAAATAAAACGTTTTAAGACCTACAACACGGTACACTACAAATAAGCTATAGTATCGTGTTATCGTGCCACTTAGTAACAAATAAATTGCGGTCTAATAGTCGTCATCGTTGCTCCACGGGTGGTAACAACTAAAAACTGATTGATTTTTTTATCTTAATATAATCGTTATTCCCCCCACCTTTCATTTGCTATGTCGCATGTTAGGATTCAATCAATGGTTTATTTTGTACTCAGCTAGAGGCCTTCTTTGAGTCAATAAATCAAAATTTGATTTATAGTAAATCTATTTTTATACATATTGTCATATGATATCTCGTATGTCGCTATACGTTAATTAATAACGATATTGTGCAGTGCCCTTTTGGTAGTCGTCTTGTTTGTTTTTTCTATCTTAATATATTCGTTACACCCTTTCCATTCATTTGGTTTGTCGCATGTTAGGATTCGATCAGTTGTTTATTTTGTACTCAGTCAGAGACCCTCTTCAGATCAATAAAGCTTATGCTTTACAGGGTGTCTATTATCATTGATACTGTCATGTGATATCTCGTGTGACGCTATAAGTTCATTAATATCGAACTTTGTTTTTTCTTTCTTAATGTAATCTTTATTCCCTCCCATTTCATTTACCGTATCACACGGTCCAATGTGTGTTCATTACTTCTTCTTCTTCAGATGCAAATCCACTAATGGATGTTAGCGATCACATTTTCCATTAATTCTCTATTTCTTGCAATATGTATCAGATATTGTATGTAGTTAATCCCTGTCCATTGCCTTATGTTTCGGAGCCAGGACATTTTCTTGCATACCATTACGGACAAACAGAATTATATATATTAATACTGTCATGTGATTTCTCGTATGTCGCTCTACGTACATTAATAACTAAGATAAGATTTAGTGCCCTTTTAATACTCGCTTTGTTAATTTTTTTCATTACCCCCTCCTCTTTCATTTAACGCATCACCCGCTCCAATCGGACCAATAACAACGGAGATATGATGTAATGCTGTGGTTTTCGTTACGGACAGATAGACAGACAAAAGAAGCAAATTATATATATTGATACTGTGATTGTAACGAGTCCGTTACTTAAATAATCGTTTACTTTTTTTTTCTGTGACTGGAATCTTTTAATTTAATTCTAAATTAAATTCATATTTGAAATATTCTTAAACTAAATATTTAAATAACTCCCAGTAAATCTCTTTTTCTAAGGTTGGCATTAAACCGCGCCACCAGTGGTAAGATTCCGAAAGTACATCCATTCGACGGCTTGTAAAACCTTAACAGCTTAATAGGGTTACTTGTCAACTGGATGTGATCGGAGGAAGATCGTTTCGATCAGAGTAGTAGCGGCTGGGAAGTGCCATTTTTCCCGAATTGAGTTTAAGTTTATTTTATTGTCAAGAGCTGTTCGTTTTAGAAGAAATTATTTGAGTTGTTTTGTTGTTTGTACGAGGATACTTTCAGTTGGGTCACCCTAGCCGACTACTCCCAGAATCCAGTTGCAAGTCAGGGGAAGAAATTTTTTTTAGTTTTTTTGGGTTGTACTTATTAAGAACAAGGGGAAGAAGTTTAAGTTCACTGGTTTTTATTGGAAATTTAAGAAGAATTTTAAGTTGACTTATTTGTCCAAGAGTACCGGATATGTGGAATCCAAGTTTGGTGTACCTTTTACCATCTGAGTCTAGTTCTCCACCGGATCATCTCCAAGGGCAACCTACAGAAACTGGCAGGAAGAACTTACTTTTATTTTTGTCTCTCATTCAATTATTTTAAATAACTTTTGCTACGTCGTCTTCAAGGTTTTAACTTTTGGTTCCACTTTTAATTTAAATATATATCCTTAATAATAAATACCTTCAATTTTCTTAAAACATTAATCATTTTAACTTAATTTAATTTTTTATTGTCTACCAAGGGATGAGGTTATAACTCTCCCTTGAATCTCTCTTTATTAGGTTATCGTGTGCACACATATCCAGAGAGTTTTCACTTGAAAATCTAAACAATTCTTGAACGAAAACTAAACTATTAGTGAGTAGTATATAATTATATTTATTATTTATACATTATTATTGGGTATAACCTATGTCACAATTTGAAATTAAGGGGTATATCAGGGGTAAATCGTTTTATAATTATATTCAGGGTTCTCCTGTAAATATAGCTAAGTTAATTGTACATAAGAGGTGGTGGGTAGTATATAAGCTTTTAAAATAGTCTGTACCTACCTAAGTTTGGAAATTATTAAAGTTATGGTTAAAATTTCATATTTCAATTAGTACCTATCTTTCATATTTCAGCAATACAAGATATCTCGGAAAAAAACATTTAACAACCTGGCGCCCAAACATTCATTAGAGCAACTTTTATCTTTCATCTGTTATCTCTCGGTGGTTTTCTAGTCATTAGTTCTTATATCTTACGGTCTCTGTAGGGCATGCAAATTGGCCGAATCCTTCTTTGAGTGTCAAGTGGTCATTCTCCTGCATAGTCGCTAGCCAACACTTTATTTTTGTTATATTTTAAAATTCATATTTACCCTTTATTTATTTCTTTTACATAATTTATTTCTATCTAATCCCTTCCATCTTCCGTTATTCCACATATTAGTTCGTTGGTGTATCAAGGTATATTTTAGAGTTCACCCTTTTGCTACACTGGATACAGTCACCCAGACTCCCTAACACATTTTTGTTACATGATGGGTTATCTTGTATGTCGCTATACGTTAATTAATAACGAAGATGATCTGTAGTGCTCTTTTAGTAGTCGCCTTGTTTGTTTTTTCTATTTTAGCATAATTTATAGTCCCCCAGCTTTCATTTAACACATCATACGCTTCAATCGGATCAATACCAACGGAGATATGATGTAATTTCGGCGCTGGCGTTTTCGTTACCGACAAACAGTATATATATATTGATACTGTAATGTGAAATCGCGTGTCACTATACGTTCATTAATAACGAAGATAAGCTGTAGTGCTCTTTTGGTAGTCGCCTTGTTTGTTCTCTATCTAAATGTAATCGTTATCCCCTCCGTTTTCATTTAACGCATCACACGCTCCAATCGAACCAATAACAACGGAGATATGATGTAATTCCAGCGCTGGGGTTTTCATTATGGACAGACAGACAGAATACGCAAATTATATAGATTAATATTTTAACATAGGCATACTACAACACATTTTGTCAATAATTTAATCAACTAAGAGTTTACTTTTATAATACGCAAATGCTATTTATCAATAACACAGGCCTACATTTTTATTTTCATGAAAAAGTGTTTTAAGTTGAATATGTGTCCTATAGTAAATGGGATGTGCTGATTACGAATCTGTACATAGTTTTTTTTTCAGCACGTCAGGTTTTCAAAAAAAGTCTGTTTGTAATTTTTCAGAAAATGTTAAAAATACTGAGAAAATATTTATTGAAACTTTATTTAATATAAAATTACACTGCAAAATTGAATTGTTCTTAAAAAATAGAATTCAGTATAACCTACGTTAGACAATATTTTTTTTAATAAAACTGTTTTCTTTTTCCATGAAAACTACATTTTGTGGTCTTCTTTTTATGAATTTTTGTAATCGATTCTCTCTTCAAGGTCTAGTAGTGATCAGCCATCATTCTTATATCCCATCTTCCTTGGTAACGTCTCTTTATCTCCTTTATATCTTGATAGAACCCTTCTTCCATCTCCTCGCTGAGAGCTCCAAGATTTTCGGGAAAATAGTCAACGTGGGAATCCATAGCTCACCTTGCATCCCAGTTTTTATTATAATTTTTGACCATGTTAGCTACAATTTCTTTATTGTTTGGAGACTTGTTGTTTCCAAGGAAATCGTCTATGAGCTCTACGAACGATATTAATACATCAGATTCATCCTGGGTCATTGTATTCTGGAACAATCTGTCCGATTTTAAGGTTCGAATTTGAGGGCCTATAAAAATTTTTTCTTTAATTTTAGCTTCAGAAAGTGCAGGAAATTTCTCACACATATATTTAAAGCAGTCACATTGTTTATCTAAAGCTTTGACAAACTGCTTAATCAATCCTAACTTTATGCGAAGAGGAGAAAAAAGAACTAATTTTGGGTCAACTTTGGTCACGTTGCACATTTTTTTATCCCGGTACTAGTCTTTCTCTGAGAGGCCACTCTTTCTTAACGTAATGTAAATTTTGTGGTCGAGTGTGTCTCACTCGCATAAAAAATATGGATACTTTGTGAATCCAGACTTCTGACCCAAAAGCATGGATATTATTTAAATATCTTCAGAGTTTCCAACAATATTCGCTATACTTTATTTTATTTAGCAACAGCTCAAGATTCTCATATGTTTCTTTCAGATGCACGGAATAAGCAACAGGCATTGAGGCACAAGTATTACCATTGTGCAACAAGACACTCTTCAGACTTCTCTTAAAAGAATCATTA